GGATTAATACTGATTACTTATGATGAATAAACTATAACCCAAACACATGTGTTAATATTCAAGTACCTGGATTAATACTGATTGCTTGTGATGAATAAACTATAATCCAAACACATGTGTTAATATTCAAGTACCTGGATTAATATTGATTACTTATGATGAATAAACTATAACCCAAACACATGTGTTAGTCTTCAAGTACCTGGATTAATATTGATTACTTATGATGAATAAACAATAACCCAAACACATGTATTAATTTTCAATTACCTGGATTAATACTGATTACTTGTGATGAATAAAGGATAACACAAACACTTGTGTTAGTCTTCAACTACTTGGATTAATAATGATTACTTCTGGTGAATAATGTTTAACGAAAACACGCATGTTGTCCTTCAAATACAGGGATTTATATATATATATTACTTGTAAGTATTAGTGCATAACGCAAAGATTTTCAACAATGGAATTTCCTTGATAATCACCCCGCCAGTAAAGAAAATATCATGTTAAGCCTGGCGAAAAATGTTATAACTATTGTCGCTTTGCAACAGAATGGATACATTACACCTTCCCATTCAGTTTTTTTCCATAACTGTAAAAAAACGTTCTGAATTTTAACCTAGAATTATTGTAAGGATTGTAAATGCTGAAACATATTGGAACTTTTAGCAATATAAAATACAACAGCGTGAATGGCATGATAAGCTTAAAACCACGAAAATGAACAGAAAACTTTCAGCTTAAGGTGTGCTGAGTAGATAACCTACTTATCACTCATAGAATCAGGTTATGTGACACGTATTCCTTGATTCTGTATTTTCAACCTGTCAGCATCTTATAAAATACAATAGGATAAACGCCCAGGACAGATACCCCCAAGATTAATATATAGCCATCCATAAATTAGAATGCTGACCACAGAGAAGAGAAACATTCAGGAGCACCTGCCACCTACACGGATACTCTTGACAGAATATTCGATTGATATTTTCATAACGTTCACAACATCCAAAGGTGCTGAGCAATCTCAGTGACTTTCTGATAAGCAGCCTGGCACATCAGTCACTAGATAATGCCTGTTCCTCCTTTAGTTTGATCTTTCTACTTTACATTTACTGTTAGATGAATATTTGCTGCTCTAATGCATAGATATAAAATTATATTTCATTTATCAATATATCAAACCATACGTTTTACATATACAAATGGCATATCATACTCTTCGAGCGAAATATATTTCTTAAATAAACGAAATCTTAATTTAATCGATATTTATATTAACTGCTAAACGAACAAACATTTTAAGCAAACAGCTATACATCGTTGTGAGAGGAAATTATTAAACAGTCCAAAGACGTTCATAAGCGTTATAAATACCAAGTAAAGTCAATAGTTAAGTGTAACTTTGGTAATGTTTCAACTAAATAAATGATATCTTTCTCATTGATAAATGTCAGAAAAGTTTGAGGCTCATACAAAAATTAAAACATCAATGTTGAAATTAAATATATTGACGGTTTTCTTAGTTCGGGGAATATTTCAAAATATAAATCATAGCTTTAATTTAAAATAACTAATAGCATTAGTACATTTTAGGTAGATGACAAGTTTCGTTTGACCATAAGCTTATGTCTCCTACTAAAACCAGTTTAATGATCAGTTAACAATAACATTTAGGGCTAACTCGGCTTTTATTAGTCACACTACATTGTTTTAAAGAAATGCCACGGTAGGCGAAAAAGACTTTTTTGTGTAATATACTTTTCTCTACATACAAACACCCCGATATTTTCACTCAATAATCACCAGAATTTACACTTGGTGTATAACCATGTTATCTGACTGCTTCCAATCATACATTAGTGTTTGTTATTGTAATTTTAGACCAAATGTTCTCACAGGGGATCTGTTGAATATTTCCAATCATGCATCATCATTTGTTCATGAAATCCATTGGAATTAACTTTTTCACGCTTGCGCTGTTGATTCGCTACAAGTTGTACAGTCCATCTTATACTTGCACATGAGAAATTAAAAGTTATTTCATTCAACGACTGTAGAACTGGAAAAATACATTATCACTCACGTATGACTGATGAATGCTGTGTGTATCTGTTCATTCACATGTGAATGATGAATGTTGTGTTTCTTTTCACTCACGTATGACTGATAAATGTTGTGTGTATCATTTCACTCACGTATGGCTAATGAATGTTGTGTGCATCTTTTCACTCACGTATGACTAACGAATGTTGGGTGTATCTTTTCACTCACGTATGACTAACGAATGTTGGGTGTATCTTTTCACTCACGTATGACTGATGAATGTTGGGTGTATCTTTTCACTCACGTATGACTGATGAATGCTGTGTGTATCTTTTCACTCACGTATGACTAATGAATGTTGTGTGCATCTTTACTTTAAACTCTCCTTGTATTAATCTTAGAACCTTAAAATAGTATTAAGAACTCGTGAAGCAATGTAAGGTTTATTTATATTATATCGTAATTAACCTACATCAGTTTCGAACGTCTTTTTGGTCTACATGCTTATGTTTCACTCGTTCATCGGTCCACTTACACATGCTTCACACGTTCGCTTACTTCACCTACACCTGTTTGACACGTTCGCATGGTTCACCAACACCTGTTTCACACGTTCGCCTGGTTCACTTACGTTTGTTTCATACGTTCGCTTGGTTCACCTACACATACTTCACAGCTCGCTTAGTTCACCAACACCTGTTTCACACGCTCGCCTGGTTCACCTACCCCTGTTTCAGACGTTCGCCTAGTTTGCTTACGTTTGTTTCATACGTTCGCTTTGTTTACCTACATATGTTTCACGCGTTTAATTAGTTCATCTACACCTGTTTGACACGTTCGCATGGTTCACCTACATATGTTTCACACTTTCGCGTAGTTCACTTAGACCTCTTTCACGCGTTTGATTAGTTCATTACACTTGTTTGACACGTTCGCATGGTTCACCAACACCTGTTTCACACGTTCGCCTGGTTCACTTACGTTTGTTTCATACGTTCGCTTAGTTCACTTACACCTCTTTCACGCGTTTAATTAGTTCATCTACACCTGTTTGACACGTTCGCATGGTTCACCTACATATGTTTCACACTTTCGCGTAGTTCACTTAGACCTCTTTCACGCGTTTGATTAGTTCATCTACACCTGTTTGACACGTTCGCATGGTTCACCTACTCGTACTTCACATACTTCTGTAATTTTCTTGCACATGCTTTACGTGTTTACTTAGAGTATCTGCATCATTTAATTCTGAATGCAGTCACATATAGATAATTGATAATTCTCCCCTTTCTAAAAATTATTTATCAGTATAAGCCTTGAAAAATACTTTTTAAATGTTATTAATTCAAAAGTTTTAATAAGGTGTCTATTTCTCTGTAGATTGTTTCATTGATATCCTCCTAAAAACCCCTAATGAACTTATACGGCCTCAGTCCAACCACTTAGCGCCATTTAGTCATGCTCTAACACAATGAATTACCGATTTCCTCAAACCTGCTATTAAATTGTTTGGATTCACCGTCAAAACATGATTGCATTATTTCTGTACTTTCAAATGGTTTGTTTCATGAAGATATCGCGAGAAATATGTTGTAATGTTTTCACCAGTTCATGTACTTTTCTGCGATTACTGACTCGAGTCAGGTCTCAGCGCCCCCCAGTGGCACAGCGGTATGTCTGCGGACTTACAACGCTAGAATCCGGATTTCGATACCCGTGGTGGGCAGAGCACAGATAACCCATTGTGTAGCTTTGTGCTTAACTTCAAACAAACAAACATTAGTTAACACAAACAAACAGGTCTCAGCTGTATGACAAACATGGAAGAAGATAGCCGCTACTGAGGGAAGTTGGGGATTCTTTTACTGTTTGTTTATAAAGCATCTTGAAGCATTCTTTTATCCTAAATAAATTCCAAGGTAGTGTATTCACACTCTTCCTGTGATTTAAAACTTTATACCGATGACATGAAAATATTTACTTTTTTCATTTTAGTTGAAACATTTGTTAATTTGGCTCGTGAAAAAATGTGACTGTCATCCAAACAAAATAAATGTTTATATCTAAAAAGTTCACGCAAGAGTATTTAGATCTGAATGGAAGGAAGGGGGAAGTTGAGAGGGAAAATGTACTGAGTATCGAGATTTTAAAGTATTTGTAGTTTCTCAAACAGGTCACGTAATGCAAACATTATATCAACAAGAGGAAACTTACGATTTTCATGTAACTAAAGCAGTAACTGCTATCAAAGGAACTTTGACCAATAAAGAACAAGAAGAAACACATTACACGATAAGTTTGCCTTTTGGGCGTGAATTTTTTACAAGTTAGTGCTCGTGGAGCATATCAGTAGGCTGGGTAATGACCAGATAAACACACGTGTTTTTATAAGCAACATTATGTATGATTTATACCTAGAGAACCTAATCTATTATTCAACACAAATATATATATAAACATATATTAGTATTTTCAGTTAACTTATACGATATATATATATATATGAGTATTTTCAGTTAACTTATACAATATATATATATATATATGAGTATTTTCAGTTAACTTATACAATATATATATATATATGTGTGAGTATTTTCAGTTAACTTATACGCTATCTATATACATATATGAGTATTTTCAGTTAACGTATACGATATATATATACATATATTAGTATTTTCAGTTAACGTATACGATATATATATATATGTG